TTTTTTGTACATTCGGTTAAATGCCATAACTTTTGCTCAATAGGGGATAATGACTTTAAACCACACCAAGGAAATCAAAATTTTATTTTTACTAGAAACGGTGAAAATAGGAAAAAATTTGGGTATGGATTTCCGCGCCAAAAACACCCTAAATCCGTGCAGCGCTTTCCAAAAGGAATTGTTTTGGTTTTTCCAAAATGGAACCAAAGGACAGCACAGAATCGGCCAATCTAGGATACGCTCGCTCGTAACGCTCGCCGTTTCCGGTTCCTCTCTCTCTTCTGGAGTTTCCAGTTTTTCGAAAACCTCTTCGTCTTCTCCGGAAATGACGACGCCGACGCCGGCGCCGTCTCTGTCTCCGTCTCAGCCCACCACTTGCGGCTCTCTCCTCCACGAATTGCAGGTTCTCTTCCCGATTCACTGTGTTTGAGTATCATTTTCTTCTTGTTTCGAATCACTGTTGCTTGATTGCTTCGTTTTCTTTGTATCAGGGAATTTTGTGCGTTGTTTTTGGTTATTAGAGTTTTTTAGATTCGTGTTAGTTTAATCTCCTATTTGATTTCGAGTTATCACTATAAAACATGCCAAACAGATAAAATCAAGTTGAATTGAAGCTTTTTTTGCCAGTAGCGCCTTTGATAGATTTGTGTCAGATTGATTTCCTGCATGATTTCTAGTTCATTGCTCTAGAACTAGCCAAACAGTTAGAAATCTAGTAGAATTGAAAATTTTGGTTTTTTTTCTTTTTTCTTTTTAATGTCGTATTTCGTTCTTAGGAGTATTTTATTGTGATGTAGATGATATGGGATGAAATTGGGGAAAGTGATGATGAAAGAGACAAGATGCTTCTACAACTAGAGCAAGAATGCCTCTATGTTTACAGGAGAAAGGTTGAAATGACCAGAAAGCACAAGGCTGATTTGCAGCAATTCCTGGCTGAATCTGAAGCAGAAATAGCTAACCTTGTTTCTGCCCTTGGGGAACATTCTTGCTTCTCACGGGTTTGTGTTTTTCGGCATTGCTGCTATTGTTATTTTTGTACCACTTCATTTCTTGTTGGATATAGAAAAGAAAAGATTTGGCGAAAGAAAATTATGATATAATGGGGTAATGATATTTTATGCATAAAATGTGATGAGGGAATGCTACCTATTCTGAACACATTATCTTAGTTTGAATTTTCTTCATGATATTTTTTTCCTGCAAATGAAATGTGGATTTGATTCCTTTGTGAAATAGGCAAAGGGCACCATAAATCAGCAATTATCTGCTCTGAAACCTGTTTTGGAGGACTTAAGGTTGAAAAAGGAAAAGAGGATTAAGGAATTTCATGAGACCCAATCACAGATTAATCAGATCCGTTCAGAAATAGCAGGTAACATTCTTTCTAATAAAGGTGCTGAAACACAAGTTAATGAATCTGATTTGACAGTGAGGAAATTGGGGGAGCTCAAGTCATACTTACAGGAACTTCAGAATGAGAAGGTTTCTTACTGATTCTGCTATGGCATTCAAGTTATAATGCAACTGCTCTGGCTTCCTTATGATGCTAAAGTTTGTACCTTCCTTTACTTAAATCTGCAGGTTCTCCGGTTAAAGAAAGTTAATAGCCATATAAATACCATTCATTCTCTGTCACTTGTGATGTCAATTGATTTCTTGAAGACAGTGGGCGATGTTCATCCTAGCCTGATTGATCCTGGTCAATCGAAAAGTATCAGCAATGATACTCTTGCTAGGTTAACAGGTGTAAGTAATTCACTAATACAAGATAAACAACAAAGGTTGCACAAGGTGATGTTTATGTATGACTGTTAATTATTTTATACATTTGCATATAATTGGAAGTTTGTTAAAATTTTATTTGTTCTCTGAAGATTTTCTTTTTACTGTAGCTTAAAGGTTTTGCAAGCACGTTGATAAAGCTGTGGGATCTCTTGGACATGCCTATTGATGAGAAAAAGAGATTTGAGCATGTTACTAGCTTTCTTACTTCCTCAATTGATGAGGTCTCTAGGCAAGGATCCCTTGGTCTAGATGTCGTTGAGCAGGTGATACTTGTTTTTTCTTTCAGCTGCCTTTGTTTTGAGATTGTTGTGTATTGCCTCCAATATGTAATATTTTAATTATCATTGTTAGACTGAGGTTGAAGTTGAGAGACTGAATGTACTGAAAGCAAGCAAGATGAAAGAGTTGGTCTTCAAGCGGCAACATGAGCTTGAAGAAATCTACAAAGCGGTTCATATGGATGTAGATAGTGATGCAGCACGACAAATACTTATTAGCCTCATAGAATCTGGTTATTGTTTCTATTATTATCTTTTACCTCGTTATGCCTTTTCCCTTAATTCTGAATTTTCTTTTTGCTCTATGTTTGTGGATCTTCCTAGTAAATCAGTAACAAAGCATGAGCTTTTTATGGGGTACACTTTATCTGACATGTTATCTGATTATTCTTCCAAAATGTGCTTCACAGGTAATGTTGATCTCTCTGATCTACTATCAAGCATGGACGATCAGATTGCAAAAGCCAAACAAGATGCTTTGAGCAGAAAGGATATTTTGGAAAAGGTAGAGAAATGGAAACATGCATCTGAGGAGGAAAAGTGGCTTGATGAGTATGAAAAGGTGAATATTATAAATTATTTGAATGTTTGCAGCAGTATCATTTGTATTTCATGATGAATGTTGTGCTGGATTTTTATTCAGAGATGCTGAGGTTGATTCTCTTTAACACTTAAGAGCCTTTATAGGAAGAGTGGATATCATCTTAATGGTTGATGTGTTGAAATTATGAGAAATTCAACATTTTGTATTACAGTAATTTCAGTCTAAACTAGTTACTTATTCAAAATGTTACTAATACAACTGGTGGCTTACAATTCATTTATTGTCACACTGGTTATGGGAGGGGCAGGGGTTCATTGTGGGTCATTGATTCTTTAATCTTTATACTTGAATTGTATAATGTTCTTCCAATAGAATTGAATCATTGTGGGTCGTGTGTAAACATCTGTAGAAATTACTCTTATTCGGTTATTCCTTAATTTCTTTTTTTTTTCCTAGGATGAAAATAGGTATAGCGCGGGAAGAGGGGCCCACAAAAATCTGAAACGTGCAGAGAAAGCCCGGATTTTGGTCAGCAAAATACCATGTAAGCTTTTGGTTATCTTGCATCACAACTAGTTTTCCAGAATATATTTTTTTGATTTTGTTTCTTATATCACAAGATGAGAAAATTGCTTGTGAGAGACTAGAAACTGGGATGGCATTGATAAAGAGTTGATGGAGATGAGGCTTTTGTTAATTGTAATATTGTATACCCCGAGCAGATTGAACTTTTATCACTTTGCTACAGCCAGCATTCTGACCATCATATCACACAGTACTGTTAATGAAAGTCTCTAGAGTAATAAAGGAATAGTTGATCTTTATGCATAAAAATTGAGGCGTTTATGATGAATGGGACTGTTTGCATTCAATTCAATATATTGAACTACATTGAGTGCATCATTATTTAAATATGGTCTAGGATTATCAAGACACATTTAGGTGGAAACTTGCTTGATTTGCTGAATTTATTCTTTTTCATATAGCTACAACTAAATTGAACAGAAATCTACATAAGTTGCATATGCTTTCTAATTAATTGAAATAGATTTTCATTTTTGGGAAGAATGACAGTAACCATATAATCCCCCCCCCCCCCCCCCTTTTTTTTTCTTTGTTTTTGGTTTTTTTCTTCTATGAATAGGTATGGTTGAAAATTTGACTACAAAAGTAAAAGCATGGGAGATGGAGAAAGGATTCCCCTTTTTATATGAAAAGGTGATTAATCAATTTTTGATTGCTGTTTTAGTTAAATTGAGTTATTTATGTTGGTTTCTGTCTCAAAGCTGTTGTTTGATTACAGGCTTCTCTCTTGCCTAAGTTGGAGGAATATACTATGCTACGCCAGGAGAGAGAGGAGGAGAAGCGTAGAGCTCGAGTATGCCTTAAATTATGTGTATTTCTATGTATTTAAGTAACTATTTGTATCTTCGGCTTTATAGGTCTCCGTTTATTATCTATGAGCTGCATTATAGGATCCTTTGCACTGGCAAATCAGCTAAACTTTTCCCTCATTGAGGTTTCATTTATCTTGTAGGAGCAAAAAAAATTACAGGAACAGCTTGCAGTAGAACAAGAGGCGCTCTTCGGCTCAAGGCCAACAACGAAGAAACCACTGGGTCAGAGCACAAATACCAACAGCACAGTTGGAACCCCAATTGGTCGCCGTGTTATGACTCCCTCAGGTCGGACTGGGTTCTCTGGCACAAAGGAACATAGGGAAAGTAGCCGGGTTAATAATGTAATACCCTTAAACTATGTTGCTCTTCAAAAGGATGATTCTGGTCGGTAGAGGGTGGAGACAGCCCCATCTCATGTTTAGGACCTATGTGTAAATTTCGCCATTCTATTTCATTGCGATATTATTTTACATGAAATCAACGAGCATCATTGCAATAGTATTTTACTTTACATCAACGAGCAACAAAGACATCTAATCTTTTCATTCTTGTCTAGGATCATCTCTTTTCTACTACATTCATTGGAGGCGAATCAACTAGTAGTTTGAATAACGCTTCCGTGATGAACTACCTCTTTTTCATATTTCTAGTTGAGTTTGATTTAGTTGGCACCCATTCTTGTTTATCCGCATGCTAACAATTGAAGTAATTTCTATTCAAAGAGAAGTTGAGGTGAGAATGCTTTTAAACCTGCATCACCAATAACGAAGAAACAACAAATTGCCCTACGTTGATAGAACCCACATCATTTCCATTTTGGGTTGTTCATTTTCTTCTACTAATGCTGCTCAAAGAGAACATAAACAAAACGTAAGAGATATTATTTTGGAGTTAGTGTGCTTGGTCAGATGCATTAATCCAAAGTACCCACTGGCCAGTTCTTAACTTTCACTTCAAGAATAATTGGTGGTAAATTAGTAGTATATTGCAAATCCAACACAATTATCAACTATGGCAAACTCGTTCACACTTTATTTATTTATTGATATTTTTCTATCACGGGTATTGGAAAATTTTGATAGAATGGGATGTTTTCTTTCTTTCTTTCTTTCTTTCTTTCTTTTGAGAAGGGCAATAATTAAAAATGTTAGTATATTAGAGGTATTAATGTGTAGGGAGGATATTGAACCTGGGACATGAGATGTAAATCACAGTATACTTCAAAGGACACCAAATACCGTTGCGCCACGCACGTGGAATGCATGAGATGTTGAATCTTAAGATCAGAGTCCTCGAAGAATTAATTACATCTAATGGTGTAAATTCCTTTCTCATAATTATAGGTTTCATCATCCTAGAGGGGGGGATAATAGAGACTCACTAGCTAGGATTGGAACTTGCTTTTTGCGCTTTATAAAAATGATTTGTCTCCTCTTTCCCCACTATAGAAAAGTGGAAAGGAATTAAATTTTTTTTTTCAAAAAAAAGGGCGCACACAAAAAAAAAAAAAAAAAAAAGAAAAGAAAAGAAAAAAGGAAAAGAAGAGACACATTCATCCATATCCCCAAATCTCAATATACTACAACAAATCAGATTCCATAATGAGTCTAAAATAATCATGAAATTGAAGGTAGGTCACCTAAACAAACGTTTATTCGTTTTAGTGAATTTAACTATATTTTTATCAATTATGAAGTAATCCAACATATCATCAACTAGGAACATGGATAAATAATTGACAGGTGATGAGGAAAAAGAAACAGAGAAACACCTGTGGTGAAGTGATCCTTAATGATTAAGAATCCATTACTAATAAACTAACTAATATTGAATTAGGCTTGTTAGTGTCTCAATTATTTGGAATAAAACCATGGAGGCGATTGATCATCATCGAATCAACACAATTAAATATCTTAAGCATCTTGATTAGGATTAACATTAACTGTGCCGACTGAGCCTTATGCTAACGTTCTCCAATCTCCACTTCAGAAGTTCATGTGTTACACGACCTTATCTATTAAATGTATATATATTGAGTGTGGGTGGCATCTGTTAGGAATATGTACGTGAGAATTTGTAAAAGATGCAGAAATCAGATTCTACAGGTACAGGATATGAACATGAGGAGCGGTATTTCTCAGAATCATTTTGAAGAATATATTAAAGACAGAGACAATGAAAATTGTTAAGTTGGCATTTTTAATATGCAGCCAAGAATCTTATCTCTTACATCTGCAATTCTCTGAATGTTGCATGTGAGAAAGTGTTGAGCCAAGGTGTCTGCATTTTGAATTCAAGTTCAGCAGAGTTGAACAAAATGAAAATGTTCAGTTCATATGGTGGTCGACCGAAGGAGAGATTCTGCTTCTAGATTAAGTTTTAATTAATTAATTTACCATGATAGTATTAAAACAACTTACTTCTATATAGGCCCTTTGTTAATAAAACTTACTTTCATATGCTTATGGTGTATATGGATTTGAAATACCTCTTGCATTTTGTTAATAAAATATCTTGTTTATCTTTGGAAAAAACTAATGTATAGACCCTCTGAAATTTATGGGCTGATAGAAAATAGTAAATCTCAATTTCATTTTTTCTCCTCAATCAATATAATGGACAAATGAAGTGAAAGCTAATGGGATTGAAAGGGGAATGGAGTTGATATATATTCTTTATATCAGCAACATACATATAAAAGTAGGACTACTTGGCCACTTAAAAAATATGCTGCATTAACCATGTTATCAAAGTTAGAGAAGCGCACAAACAATAACATATATTTCTTGGAGGAATGCTAAGAAAATTTTCTTTGAAACTCTTTTTTTGAGACTCTCTATCTGATTGGGTTATATGAAGTATATATTTAATGTGGTTGATTAAAATTTTAAATTTTAAAAACATTAATTTTAATATTTAATCACTAACCATCAATCATATCAGATCAATATTTCATGTGGCTCAATCAAGTAAAAAGTGTTTTAAAAAAAAAATCTTTTAATACTATTCATATCTCTTGAAACTTTAAGATTGAGTTATGGAATGTGACAATGAAATAGATTAAATTCAATTTTTGTAAATATGTTGCAGATCCCTAAGATGCATGCAGATCAAATATTTATCTTTTTATGAATAATTTTTGATACGTTGGATAATATTTTATTCTCTTGTTTTTCAAATTTCTAATCTTTCGTTTTGAATTTTAAATATGAGATTTGCAAAGGTCTCGAACTCTTATATTAGTTGAGACTCCTCACCAAAACACATTTATTCTAATAAATATAATCAACGTATTCTATCTTGAAAACTCCTTGACAATTTTTGCCTTCTCAAACTGTGCCAATGGAACTTCGTATATATGTTACCTTTGATTCTTTCTGCATAATTAGGGATGACAACGGATTCCTATGGAAGCAGGGACCTTCTCCCTATCCCTATTCCTGTCAATGACAGGTATGGGGATACCTATGGGATTTTTGGTGGGTGTCAAAAATGATGTCAATGATAGGTATGCGAATCCTTATAAGGATTTTTGACGGGTGTCAAAAATGGCATTTATTCTCATACTTGCAAGAAATTATAAGTACCCACAGGTATTTGGAGTTCTTATTAAATATTAAATATATAAAATTTAACTTAATTTTTTTCTTAATAAATGAAAAAAGTAGAAATTTAAAACAACTCAAACAAGTAAATAGATTAACATATAGTGTAGCAAAACAATATTTAGTAACCAATTGTAACAAATGCACACTACTATACATGTTCAACAGATCCAACAGTAAATTCATAAAAAAAAAATGTATGAATTGCCATATATATCTAGGTTAGGTTATTGAATTGGGTTTGAGAAGACTAGATTTGGAAAAGGAATAAGGCTGATCAATTTAGGTTAGTTTGGGTTAGCCAATTAGGTTGAGTGAAAAAAAATTAATTAGTAATATATTTACAAAAATATATATTAGAATAAATTTATATTTTTTTATTATATATGGATCCCTAAGAATTTTTATGGAGCAAAGGAAATTCCTTATTCCACAAGGAAGAATATTCTTAAAATCTCCGCAAAATTTGATGGGTCTTAGAAAAAATTGTCATCTTTATCCATACTGAAAAAACTAACATATATATAACATGCACTTTTTTTCTCCTCTCTTAATTTTTTTTTTCAAAATATCCATTTGAATATATATACATATATATTCCCTAGAATATAATCCTCTGATTATGTGATTTTACTATCATTCCAGCCACATAAATCTCTACATCTTTGTACCAACAAATATTGGGAGAAAATTAAGGGAAAAAAACACACATCTTGTGTAATGGGTAATGTGTAATGTGTAATGTGTTGTATCTATACATGAGGATTTTGCACCTTAGTTGATGGATTATTGTTGGAGAAAGGAAAAGCATCAGATGCAATTGAGATTCTGAGACAAACATAAAGCCATCCACAAAGAGGACATCACCTACAAAACCACTAGCCAGTGGATTCTGCATCAGACGTCAGGATTCCAGCCAAGTGTCAAATCAGAAAATTCTAAATTCACACACCCAAATTCTGGAAAAGGGGATTCTGCCATCTCATTTTGAAATATTCATCAGTACATTAGCTAGCTTACACATGACATAATACTAAACATATAAAATATAAATTTTATAATTTAGCCCCATATCTTTTTAATTTGTCTAAAAATGACAGAAACAAAATGGGGATGAAAAAAGGCAAAAAAGCACATCCTTTTCCTTGATTGATTTCTCCCTATGGCACCATAATTATATTGATGATTATCTTAATTTATGGCATTTGGTTGGTTTTGATGGTGGGTTCTGGGATAGGCATGGTAATGGTAACTGCAGAGATCTTGTTGATCTTCAATTCAACACCATTGGCTTCAATATCTTCTATAATCAATACAGAGTTGCCATTTCCTTGAACACATTTCATCGGTTCTGCTATGATCTCTTCGGCTTTCTTCTCCTTGCTCTCCTTGTGTTCTCCCCACAGAAACGCATACAGCCCTATTACTATCAAGAATGCCCCAATCACACTGCAAAATTAACACCTCGGGTTAATTAATTAATCTGCCTGAGTTTTCAGTCTCGGATTAAAATAATTAAGGATATTTTATAAAGAAAATGGAAAAAGATTATACCCTCCAAGATAAATCTTCTCTAACAGGATGAAAGAACCCATAACGGCAACAATGATCATCATCAAAGGGCTGAAAGCAACGGTGAACACCGGACCCTTTTGCTTTATCACTAGTCCTTGAACGTAATATGGAATGCTTGATGTAACAATTCCCTACAAATTAATTAAAAGAACACTGTGGTTAATTACTTTTCCACGTATGTATGCATATACCTTGAGAAAAATGGTGAAGTAAAGAAAGCTAGAGAATTTACAGCATAGGCAGCAGCAATGATATCCATCTTGGAGTTATGTTTCCACGCTGAGGTATTGTGCTCCATCACAAATGTCACAGCGATTGCCTGAAGTGTGCCTATAAAGCACACCAAAGATGTCAAAGAAAGTTGATGGTCCTTGTATGTCTTTAAAGCTTTCGTCTGTAGAACGAAAAAGGAAGCCCAGGCCAGGGTGGCGATGATGAGGAGGATGGAGCCCAGGAACCAATTCTGATGCTCGTTTGCGGCCTTGTCAGCAGCGGATGTGTGCAGGTGGATGTACTTTGTCCAAAACATCTTGACAACTCCACCTCTGTATAATGTCATCAACATAGCTCCGACCACCGTCAACACCGTTCCCACCACCTTCGCTTGGCATCTCACCTTCTTCATCTCTATTTTCTCCATCCTATTTAATCAATTCCATGCACATATATGTAAGGAAAGATGTACCGGAAAACAAAGATAAAAATGATTTTATGAATCAACTAATTACCGGCAGATTACAGCCATCACAAATGTCATAGCAGGAAGCATGTTGCTCAAGGCACATGAGAAAGTCGGAGAAGTAAACTTCAGTCCAGCATAGTAGAAGTTCTGATCAATCACCGGTCTGTATGGCATATATATGTATGCATCATGAAATTAATAAGTAACATTAATTAATCTCCGTTCAATATCGAAATGAATTAAAGAAAGAAAATGAAAGTTAAAGCTGGTAAATTAGTTACCCAAGGAGACCAAGGATGAAAATTTGCATAAAAACAGGAAATGTTATTTTTGGTTGTCCTCTCCTTTCAAAAATGAAAGCAAAGGGTGCGATGACAGCGGTGGCAATTGCGTGGCGGTAGACCACTAGCACGAAGTGGCTCATCCCTCCGTTGAGGGACTTTTTGGTGATGATGTTCATGCCGGCATACCCAAATTGCAACGAAATCATTGCAAAATAGGGCTTGGAGCTCTCGAGAAAGTTGGCGCAGCACCCCATCTTCTTCATTTTCCCTGGAAAGTGACAGAAAATGAAGAAAACACTTAAAGTTGGGGAAGGTGTGTGTGTCTGTCCCTAGTGAGGGAAGCTGATGAGCATTATTTATACAGAGGAGGGAAGAATTGTGCATTTAGAATGATGTAATTAAATTAATTACTGTACGTAATTAGTATGATACGAAGCAAATTACTTTACGCAATTAATAATTAATTAATTTTATCCATTTTTGTGGAATACGCGTGGCATGGAGTTGGAGGAATATCTGAGTCACCACTGCATGATGAGTAAGATGATGGTGCTGAGATAACTCATGTAAAGTTTTTTTTTTTTTTTAAACAACAAAAGAAGTTTTATTATTATAAAGTACAAGGGGTATTCAATCCAGTATAAACTTAATATCACATATTGATTTGGTGATTATTAAACAAGTTCCTATTCAATCTGACCCATTCTCAACAATTAACTTTACATGCATACAGTTGGTTGATTCAGCCAATCCGCAAGAATGATGCTCCAATCATCCTCATTTACTCTAAGCCAATCGTGTGACCTGATTTGGACAAACTCAAAAATTCTTTCAACCTCTGGAGATTTACCTTGAAATATCGCAGTATTCCTAGCAAGCCAGAGTGACCAAATCGTAGCAAACCATATGATTTTCCAACTTTTACTAGTTTCCTTGTTAAAGAAAATATTGCAGTGCTGCTCAAAAGCTTTCCAGCATCCACATGGCATCGCATTGACAATACCCCACCAGTTTAAAGATAAATTCCACTGTTTGGGCAATTTGGCAATGTAATGCAAGATGTTGTGGGGTTTCAATCTCAGATAGATATAAGCCGCACATTGTCACATTATAATCAGAGATAATTCCCCATTTGAAAAGATTAAATTTAGTGGGAATCTTGCCTTGAATCAATTGCCAAGAGAAAATGCAGACCTTGTTTGGTAGTATATTGTTCCACAGCTTATGGAGTAGACTTTTTCACCCTTCCCCATCTTGCATTGACAGCAGGACATAAGCGGATTTTGTTGAGTATCACCGTCCTTTGATTGTAGCCATAATGCCTCCAGCCTGTTCATAAGTTGCTGCACCATTTATGTTTCCCATGTAAGGTTAAAATTGTGACAGAGCCATCATCAATTTCCCATTAACTAATGAAAGACCGTTTCATTAGTAATTTAATTATAACTACTATTTAATTCGTTGAGTTTATTAATAATTACTAAATTTTAATTTTAATTTCATGATGAAAAATAATTATTAATTAATTAATATTTATTATTTAATATATTAAAATTAATTTATAAATAAATAATTTTAAATATCATTTTAAAAAATTATAAATTAATAAAATTATAATTAAATTGATAGTCTTAACAATTTAAATGGTGACAATAACTTGATCATTTTTACTAAAAAGACAAAACAAAATAACACAAACAAAGACCATTAATTCATCATTAATAGATTGTTGATCAAACGTACTTTGAGAAGAAGAGTTTATCATACTTTTAATTAAAAGTGAAGGGAAATTTTTTTTAAAAAAAAAATCATGCAATTCCATTGAATTTTTTGTTTGGTAAAGAGTGAGTAAATTAATTAAGCTGAGAATGATATTCCTTTGATGATAACTGCGAATTTTTTTAAATTTGAGGGTCCAATTAATGGAAATAAGGGAGACCAAGCAAGGAGACCAAAAGGGCTGAAATGCATATAAGTTTGATGTCCATACTTCACTTGCAATCACTAAAATTGAATCAGTAAATATTATTTTGTAAATAAAATTTATAGTTTAAATTTTAAAGTTAACATTTTAAGAAAATGCACTAAATGAAATTTAGGGGTACATACATCTTTACAGTCACATTCACAATTTCCCACGAAGAGAATAACATCATGATCATTCCAAAAAAAAATAAAAATCATAGGATGCAAAACGTATGTAGAACTCATTTGGTGGTCCGTTAGAAGTTGTCCAAACAGCATTAAATGAATATACATCTCAAATTTTTAGGGGCGTTTGGCAAAGCTTTTTTTTAGTTGCTTACAAGAACTTTGTTTTTTCATTGAGTTTGAAAAAAAAAATTTAGAGGGAAGTTTGATTTTTAGTATTTAAAGTACTAAATAATTATAGGTTTTGAAAGAAAGTTTGCCTTTTTTAAGGCCTAAAAGGTATATATATATTTTTTTACTTTTAGCCATTATTGAAACGGAAATGTTATATTTTTTTTAATAGAAATTTTTATTTATATTTTTAAGTTGAATAAAATTAACTATCTTATATTGCAATAATAAAAAATTAGTTAAAATTTAATATATGATGTAATCATATGTCATCATTCATTTTTCTATTTCAAAATACTCATTAAGCTTTTGCTAGGGCCATTTTTTTGGATTATATGGCATTTTCTTTTCTAGGTATTAGGTTATTCATTAAGAAAAAGTTAACCAATCACAGTTAACTATATATAAACAAAACGTCATATCATTAGAAAAGTGAGTGCAAAATTACCAAGTTAGCTAGAGTTGAGTGAGTATTGAAGGGAAAAGACAAAATAAAAACATTTGAGATTACGTTATTTATTAAATTTTAGTTAATTTATTTCAACTAAAATATAAATTGGTCAATTTCATTAGTTTAACTTCAGTAATCATTTAATATAATTGTGTAAATATACCATTTTTATCTTTTTTTAAAAAAACTTTTTTATAAATATTTTAAATACCCAAAAGAAGTGGTTCCCACCAATTTTTTTTTTGAACTTGTGAGAGGAAAAATACTTATATTCCCTTTTAAGAATAAGTTCGGCCAAACATTCCCACAAAAAAATTGTTTTAGAAAATTTGAGATCTTGAAAGAAAAATATTAAATGTTAGTCAATTAAGGTTGGGACTGGGGAGAGTGAACCCAAGCTTCTTCTTCTTCTTCTTTTTTCTTTCTTTTAACGAGTGATGTTTCTCAATGGTGTTCAGTGGTCACACATTAGATGAATAATTGGCTTAACTTTGGACAAACGTGAAAGGAATTAGTATCCTCAACATTATGGCCAATTTTCCATACAAGGTACATATTGGGGAAAAGGCAACGCATTTTTTTTGGGTTTCTTAATGGTGGCCAATGGCCACACATTAGATGAATAATTGTCTTAACTTTGGACAAACATGAAGGGAATTAGTGTCCTCAACATTAATGCCAATATGCCAATTTTCCATACAAGGTATATATTGAGGAAAAGGCGGCAATGCTTTTTTTTTGGGGGTGGGGGAGGGAGGTTTGGTTTCACTATCAAATATACAACTTCACCAAATATATATTCACAATATATAGTATACGTACGTAGCTGCATCTATATGAGTCAGAAAACTTAAAGCAAAAGCATTGCTCCGTCCCTCCATTGGCTAGAGATTGATCGTTTGAATAAATCTTTGACCAAAGACCTTTTAATCTGATGCCTTCGATAATTGAAGGCTTTTTGGGTCAAAGGAAATATGAACTCTGCCATTGTATGACCTCGCTTTTCTCTATATAAAGAGTTTTCATTAGGTGGAAGAGAAAAAGTGGGAAATAAAGGAAGCTTTATTAATTTTGGATCTTTGGAAGGAAACAAATTATTGAAACATGGAGTAGTAGTGTAATTATTTGAGTGTATAAAAAAGGCTGATGATAAGAAACTTTAGAGTTAAATTATAATAAATCATCTTAATAATTTGGTGAAAATAGTGAATCAAGCAAATTTGTCATGAAATGCTTTTCATTAATGAAATAATAATATATTGATCAATCATAATTGAAAAAAGAAAAAACTAAAGTTTAGCAAAGAAGAGAAGGAAGTAGTAATAATGACCTGCCAATAGAAAATGATATAAATAACTAATTTGAAATTAAGAAGTAAATACGTTTAGTGTGATAGGTAAATTTAATTAAATTCAAAAAATTATTAAGTCAATAAAAGTTTGACAGTTTAGCACAAGTTGTAGTAGGGTGGTGTTATTGCCACAGCTTTAAAGGTTAATACCACAGCTTTTTTAATTAATTGACCATTAACCCACGCGGAGAAAGTGATGACTGCTGCAAGTTGGATTCAAAATGAGGGTATAATAGTCAAATAACTAAAAAAAGCTGTGGCATTAACATTAATGGCTGTGGCAATAACACCACCCGTTGTAGTATTCTTGCAAATGCAAGTGGTAGCATCTAGCATGTACTCCTAGTTATGCATCTAATAAAAAGGGGTGCGGCAAAAAGACATTGATTTTCTTCCTTTGGAAGCTGCCCTCAGAATTTCCAACATCCACGCTTGTGGGGCAAGATTTTCTCCCTTTGTTTTTTTTTCTTTATCAATTTGCACTTGCGTTTTATCGACCATTCCTCTCTTATCTTTACTCTATACTGTTTACACTTTATAGGTTCCAAACTAGATTAAACAATTTCCATCAAAACAAAACGATCAAGCAAACCATTTTCTTTTTCGTTTGTTTGATGGAACAAAAGTATTGCAAGATTTCCAAGATTCTATTAAATCTTCCAAGATTCTATTAAATCAAGGAAAGATTTTTCTTTTTGTAAATTTTAAACAAAATAAAAGGAGAATGCAGGTATCGGCATAATAATGAATCTCATTCCATCAACGTGGGATTTTGGCATGCACGAATACTTGGGCTGTAAATGGCGAATCATTGACCAATACGGGCCTGGAAGTATGATTAGACATACATTGTATTCTCTGCTTGGTGCTAATGTCTATCACACCACCTCATCCATGTGCGGAACAATTTGGCCTGTTGTCCTCTTCTGGGATTCTGATATTCAAATACTGAATCAAGACATAACACTATATAGTAATATATTTTGGAAACCTAATCTATAATTTGAATTGTATCAAACTATAAAAGAGAGATCATTAAACGGGAAGATCCCTAATATTATGGGTATCAATCTCTTCTCATGGTTAATGCATGATGATTTGGTACAATTTAAATTGCACTATATTTTTTCAATATATTTTAATAAAAAGTCTAAGTTTATGGTTATCCAAAAAAAGATGGAATGAAATATAAAACAAATTAAC